GAAGTTGGAGGAAGCAACAGGCAAAGGTCATGGCGTGCAAAGTTTGCATGTGAGGGTTTGATGAATCAGTTGTGCTGTTGGGTGATTTGTTTTAAGTTGATTCACCAAAAGGACGCAATTGATGGCTATTATGATAAAATCACAGATTATCGATGGAATAGGATTAGTGAGGGGTTTGGGTGAGAGAGTTTTTATTTATTTATTTATTTAAAACTTATTTATACATGTATGACATGTTAGGGTTGGTTTTAAATTCAGGCACTAGATCTTCATAAACTTTAGGACATGAATACTGCTGAATTGAAAGCATATTTTAAATTTTCTTTTGTTTACTTCGGAATAAAACGATGCATCTGTAGGATATGAAGCTCTCAATTTGTTTTGAAACTTCTGTGTGAACAAATCAAGGAGATTTAAGAGATATTAGGGAGCATGCTGTTTTTTTCTTTCATTTCAGGCATGCCTTTCAGATTGTCTGAGGCAAATGCATACCACATGACCATATAGAGTAGCTGTGTTCTCAAGCCAAATTTGAAAATGCAGATCTTTTTTTAAGCCCCTGTATGCTACTTACCATACAAAATGTCTTATGGCAATCCATAAATATTTGTAGTTAATTTATTTGTTCAGATAATAGTTGGATACTTTGAAGAGAATTACATGTCTAAGCTCAAGTAAAGTCCTATTATTGATTCTTTGTCCTTTTATTTGTAGTGAAATCCAAGTAGTTTGAAGAAAAATGTATCCCTGGTACCACATAAGTTCTGTGGACAACCTTTGCAACTGCTATTCTGTCAAATGCTGTTATTACTAAGACATATTTAATTCATCTATTTGTCTGATATTTTTGGGTTTCTGCTTTCACACAATTCTATTTACTAAATTGTGTATCGGGCAGGTCTGGTCACTCAGGGTTGAAGGAAATCTAAATATGTTGTATTATATGGTTTAGTGAGTGAATGATTGAAAATTCGTTTAATTTTAAACTTTGGTTGTGTCTTTTACTGAATTTGTGTTCACTCTGCAGATTATTGCGAGGAGGTTATTGGAATCAAAACAGACTACACCGCATTTATATCTATCTTCAGGTAGGAATTTAATTATTTATCTACAGGTTATAGTATAAGTCGACCTTTGATCTTAAAGGTTCTATTGTGTTCATCAGATGTTATTCTCGATCCTCTTCTTTCTTTTAGGAAGGAGCTTAAAGGTATGGAATAAACTCCTGTATCATCAATTTGATTTTAACCCCCATAGTTTGCCTGACTCCTAATTCTTCTCCTCTTTCTCAATTGCAGAGAAGCATGATATCAAAGTTTCAGTTAATGACATTGTCATTAAAGCGGTGGCAATGGCTCTAAAAAATGTACCTGAAGCTAATGGTAAGACAATTTCAATAAAATTGGTCCTCATAGGTTTCTGAGCAAACATGGAATCGGAGCCAAGCCAACTCAACCTGCTAATAAGAGCATTGTCAATTGTAAAATGTAGTAAAGATTGCTAGAGATGTTGGGTGATATTTTTTTCTTGGACTAGAGTCCACTCTGTTTTGCTGCTCTAAAACATTGGGAATGGCATACATCTTTAAACTGATGCAAGCCCAAAAATGCTGTTGCCAGTGATATTTGCATCTCTAGCAAAAACTACATCAGGAAGAAAATATTTTCAGTTTTCTATTCTTTTCTACCTTTGTTTATATCTTTATTGTTGATTTATTGGCTGGGTTATTAATTGGAGGTTAACCCTTTCCCATTCGTTTACCAACCCTATTTGCGTTTTTATGCTTAAATTAGGACTTTAGCATTCCTTAATGAAGGAAATGCCACAAGACTGTACGGTCATTTTGTTTCTTATACCTCTGTAATTCAACAACTAGTTTGTAATTGCTGGTACTATAAATGTTTTTCAGCTTAACCTGAAAAGATAAATCTGGAGATTGTCTTAATGTTGTGTAAATTGTTTCTTCACTTTGATAGAATCTGAAGTTAGGTATAGACAGTTTTAGTAGGTGGGTCTATGAGCTCCTCTAATGTCCAAGCAGGAAAAGTCTTGTCTTATTTTGTGTTGATAAATGGTTGCATTGAAGAAGTTTCAAAAGGAAAAGGCACTAAGATTGCGAATTTATCAAACATGTGTGTTGAATGTACCCACTATATTTAAGAATTTTCCAACATCATCTTACCAGTAACAAGTGCTTTTTTCTAGAGTGGGAATAATCACTCTGTACATAATTCCTTTTTCTTCAGGACAATTTAGCTTCCATACAAAGATTATGGCTCTTTCGGCTTATTTCTAATACAAAAAAATTTGCTCTCTCAATGACTGCAGCTTATTGGGATGCTGAGAAAGGGGAAATAATTTTGTGTGACTCTGTTGACATATCAATTGCAGTTGCTACTGAGAAGGTATGCTTCGAATAACATGTTGTTCACAGGTTCTATAGAGCAACTCATTTCAAATTATTTTATTTGCATTGCAGGGTTTAATGACTCCAATCGTAAGGAATGCAGATCAGAAATCCATTTCATCAATCTCCTTAGAGGTACTTTCATCTTTGACGTCTACCCTCTTCTGAGTTTAGCAACTTCTTTGGGCTCCTTTACTCTGGTTTTTCTGTAGCCTGCGAGGTTGTGCTTTCACCTTTTAGGCCACTTTTCACCAGATCATTAGGTTTATTACCCATGTACTTTGCCTTTTGTGCTTGTTTAAATCTAGGGAAATAGCAGAACACATAGTGGGACCTGCTTGCAACAGTTAAATATGTTGACTAACTGAAAACTCAGTATAGATATGACTTAAACTAGATTTTGAAATGATCTGCACTGTATCAGATGATGGTCAACAAGTTTAGAATTACATGTTAATTATCATTGTTTTGGTCTGTTTCTTTCAACATAATCCTTTAGCAATCATTAATTTACATTTTGGGTTTGGTTTTATTATATGCTTATCTCTCTTTAACTTGGCCTGCAGGTCAAGCAACTAGCTGAAAAGGCAAGGGCTGGAAAGCTTTTACCAAATGAATTTCAAGGAGGAACCTTTAGGTATGTAATTTTATGGTATACATATGGGATATTAGTTCTTCACAACTATTTTTTTAATAGTTGAAAGAAATATTGAGAAATACTTTGTAATTTTCTGTAGCATTTCAAATCTGGGAATGTTTCCTGTGGACCATTTTTGTGCAATTATAAATCCCCCACAGGTATTCTTCTCTCCCTCTCTCTCTTCTCTCTCTCACACACACACAATGTGCTGCATACTTACCCACACATGCACCCACCAAGAATGTTGGTCTCAAATCTCAATTTGCCTGTACTGAACAATCATTAGTTTAGCTTCAGCTTCAACCATTCATGACTTTAGTCGGGAATAATATGTTGCATTCAGGGCCTGAAAGTCAAAAGTAGCTGGTTTATTGACACTTTCTTACAAAGTTCAAGCAATAAATGTGAAAAAGCATAGTTCTGGGTTTTCTATTTGTTGATAATGATCCCTTCAAAAACAGTGGAGTAGCACTCTAATGTCTTCTATCTCTGGACTTGTTCCTGAAGGCAATCCAACCACTGTTATAGATGCTGCTATTAGAAAGTAATAAGCACATTGTAAGGTGCTATAAATCATCTCCTATGTTTCTTTGGCAGGCTGGTATCCTTGCTGTAGGTAGAGGAAACAAATTTGTTGAGCCGGTGGTTGGAAGTGATGGTAAAATGTTGACCCCTTGTGTGCTATGCTTCCATATACTTAATGCTTGAAAATATGTTTTGTTTCATATATTAAATTTCTACTCAGGGATTGAGAGGCCTGCAGTTGTGACAAAAATGAACTTGACATTATCTGCTGATCATCGTGTATTTGATGGCAAAGTTGGAGGTATGCAATGTGCTTTTTACACTGTTCTAAATATGAAGCTTTTGACAGATGGTGGATAGCCCCTAATACCTTAACCTATAATAATATTGCTCTGCGAAATATATTGTTGTGTAAACTGCAAAAGTAGAAGAGATGAGGGTTTCATTCCTCCCATGCATAGCATCCTTGTAATAATATCACAAATAACTTCATGAGAAATCTTGGAGGTTCCTGCCAGAGCCTAGAAGTAAAGACATAACTGAACTGGCTCCAATATTTGGTTGATCTAAGTATCTAACAAGTTCTTCCTGATTTTAAAAATCTATGATCTTTAGTATTGCTGCTGCCTGGATACATCAATACAATACCTGCGTGAGATTTGAGCTATTATTATTGCAGGTGCATTTCTCTCAGCATTACAATCTAACTTCAGTGATATTCGGAGGCTTCTTCTCTGATAACATTTCGTCGTCGAAATTTGGAGAGATCAGCTTTGGTGGAGGGTCGCTTTCTTAAAGATTGTTAATAATTCTTGGAAAGGATCATGTTTATTTGTTCCTGAACCCATTGCGGCAGCGAATTTGTTGTGCAATCCTGGTTACCAGAATTTTGTCAATAACGAGAACCCCAGTGATGTAAAATTTTGCAAGATATTAGGTTACTAGTGTCATCAGATTTTGATGCCATCTTTGAGGGCTTATTCTGCAATTTCATGTTTCCATCTAATAGAAATGATTGATGGAAAAATACGAATAACAAATCAATAATGAATTTGTTTCATGTATTCTGTCTACTTTTCATTTAGATTTCGTTTGGTTAATGATTTGCAAAGATTTATAGTTAAAAAGGTTAGAAGGCATTCATCCTGTATTCTGCTATCCTTTCCCTGCTTCTCCTTCGTTCACACAATAAGCTTGTTTGCTCAAAAGGATAGCTTTAAAGTTAGCTTTGGCTGTGTAAAAACGGTTCCTAATTCTTCTGAGGCATAGATGCTCATTGAATTCACTAATACGTGCAACACTAAGGCCACCCATTGCAGGAAATAGCTCAGAACGACTGAGATCAAATGCCATCTCTATCTAACTGCAAATATAACGCACAACTTTCATTGAATGAAGCCAAAATTGAACACGGAAAGGGGCCACTCTTCTTTCTTTCACACCCATGGTAGTCATACAGTCAACTTCAATCAAGAAAAGTGGAATGTGAACACTATGGAAACATCAAAACGGTTAAAGTCCTTGTACAATTGTTTCTAATCATCATCAAAATTTTGAATATTTCAGAGATATTGGTCAAAAATTAAAGAAAAAAAATTTGATAACAGACATTTGGCATCTGACGGCTGCCTTAATTAACAGAGCCATGTAGGCACCATATGGCTTGGTTGGGGATTGCTAAGTTCTGTAGGAGCTCACAAGCTAATGAATACAAATATGACGAACACTGCTTACCCAATTCGTAAACATTCAGTGCTAGAATACCGAGGCAGAGCCTTTCACAGCAAGTGGCTCATACCACTGAGGGCCAAACCCTGCAGCTTTCCTTGCTTTCTCATTAAAGGGTGGCTTCAATGGTCCCCTAAAGTGTGTCCTTACTATGGCATGAAACTTCTGAATCACCTCTTCACTTTCCTCCACCGAAGTCTCACTTCCTCCTGCTTCACTTTCTTGTGATGCTAGGCTGTCTTGACACAAAGCTGGATTTCTGGATCTCAGGCAAAGATACTTAAACCACTTCACTCCAGCAGCACAATGTGAAATCTCTTCCGGGTAAACTACTGTCTCCAGTAAATCAGCTGTGTCATTATCACCTCCATTACGGAACCGAGAGATGGTTGTCGGCAGCACATCGAGTCCCCTTGCCTGCATTAGTGACAGTTGCTTCATCAAAGTGAACATTGGAACATAAAACTTAATGCAACTTACCGAGTGAATATGTATCAATGTTTCATGGTTAGATGCATTCAATCTATCACCCTATTTCATTTCATTCAAAGGTTCCATAATCATGATAAATTGACAAGAAATAAACTCATTCCATCTCTAATAAATACTTGAAGAACTTGTTTTTAATTTAACAACAGTGCTTCAAGAGCAATAGATTATGCATTCTTTCCCCTCCTATATATGTGCTCTCATAGTGATTGAGTAGACTGAAGGACCAACTCCTTACTTATCCCATGACATATCAGTAGACCGAAGGACTTTAAACTAGAAATATGGTTGCAAGAGAAGCTCCATCCTGTCAAATAGGATTATAGGAAGGCCATTGGCAAGCAGGCCTTTGTCATTGAGTTCATAAATATGGATACAAGTGATAGTAATTTTTATTGATGTGACCCTAACCCCAGCCTAACAGTATTAAGGCTTTAGTGCAATATTGCTTCTAATAAAGAAGATAAGTAGAGGAGAATCATGCACCTCATGGACACAGTGCTCAATTGCCAAACGAGCCAAGAGGTCCTTGGATGTAGCAATAGCAGAGTCCCAAAGCCCATCATGAGCAGGCAATGCACCATAAGAAGAACCAAGTTCTTCAAGTCGAGCTACAAGGACGCTGAAGTGCCGACCTTCATCTTGGGCTACCCTTCACAAAATCGTTGAAAAATTCTCTGGGCATTGATTCTTGGTTACCAAAACGGGCAATTATATCCTATATCAAATCTACAAACAAAATGAGCGGATACCAACACAAATATGGTACTTAGTAAAATGATCAGCTCTTCAAATCTCAAAACTTGCACTCAAGTCACAACACAAAATCATATGCACTCAGTTACGTAAACCTGAGACCTTCAAATTAGAAATCTCAAGCTCCTGGAAGTGTCAGACCAACAATTAACTCATCAACAACAAAAACATTTTAATTTGAAAATTTTATTGGTAAGTACGCACCTAGCTACTATTCAAATTTGAAACCTCCAAATTAAAAATTACAAATTTTAACTGCTGGAATCTCAGTCGGCATGCGTCATCAGATTCAATCAACCTCAATGACAGAAGCCATCATCATAACCAAAACAAATTAAAAAACATAAAATAAAATAAAAGGGCGAAAGCGAGAAGTACCCAAGACAAGTCAATGGCCCAGCTCTCGGTATGCACAAGACTATGCACAATGGCTTGCCTGCTCTGCAAGCTGCCAGCTTTCCCAAGCTTTGGCATCAAACTCGGTGACACCAACTTAACCTACAAAAAAAAAAAAAAAAAGAAATTATCTTTCTCTTTTTGGATTGCAGCATTTTGATAACGGTTAATGTAAAGGAAACGAGAAAAAGCCACGTACGTTGGTGAGCCTGGCGGGACGATCGGGTACCGGAAGGTCATGGGATGGGTCGAAGGGACGAGTGATGATTCCTTGGAGCCATTTGGAGGCAACTGAGTCGCCGAGTCGGGCCTTCTCGAAGGGGTCCGCCGTGTTCAGAACACGAAGCGCCGCTTCTACGAGCGTCTCGTTTTCTTGCTCCCCTTGTATTGGGCTCATCTCTCCCGAGAAGAAACACACCGCCTAAGATTAAAGCTAATCTTTACCGGCCAACGAAAGCCACTGTCGTTGCTGCAAATGCAATACATTTATTTACGTTGCCGCGGGTTATTCAATTGCTGAAAATTATTTAAATATAATAAAAAGAAATTGCGAAATTAATTAAAAAATATTATAATATCTTTAAAAAATAGTTGATAAAAGAATTAGCCAGCCAAATAGAAAGGAAAAAACAAAAACCCTTTGAAAAGAAAATAATAAGAAGTGTTCATAAGTGGAAACACAAAAACCACTGTATAATGCTGCTGCCCTTAGACAGCATTATTCTGGGTGCCCAGTGATAAACAAATAAAGGGCAAAGAGAACAGATCCCGTTTGCCTTTATTTATGATTATGAAAACCTGTGTCTACACAACGAACATCACATACCAAGCAGCTCAGTCACAAAAATCTATGCAATAAATGAGAACACAAGAACCTGTCCATCTATCCACAAATCCAACCATACAAAAGGAAAAAATTAATTACAAAGCTGTATCAGAGTGCTGGGAAGACAATCGGGCATGAATCAAGGGGCCAAACACACACAAGCATCATCAATAGGATGAGCTTAAGATAAAGCTACAAACACATGCCCCATATAGTCACCCATATGTTATCTATACAACTGAACTGTTTTCATAAGACCATTCATTGGCAGGATGAGCATAACAGAGAGGTACAAAAACAGGCTCCACATAGTCAGTCCTATGTTTTCTATACAATCAGGTGTCAAAAAGAAACTGTTCCAATGATCAAAAAAACATGGCAGTTAGTTGTCCTGTACAAAATGTCATTCATGTCCCGTTGTGTATTCAATTTTTACCATAGATATCATAATAGAATGGAGCTATAAAAATTATGCTCCAACAATGGTAAAAATTACGTGATTTGTTTTCGATAAACCCTTCTTGTGGTGCCTATCCTTCTTGCAGTTTGCTTGGACTTGTTGTTGACATCGTATCATAAAATGCACTTAGTCCATTGGTTGTCATTCTATTCCAATTTTAGTAAGAAGTACATTGATTAATATAATTTAGCTACTCAGTTTTGATCCTTTTTTCTGGTGACTCTCTTAGAAATAGTTAATTTGAGACTTGCGCATTTGTTGGGGATGGTGGCACTTCCATCTAATACTATCCCATGGTGAGAAGTGGGGTTTCAGAGAGGGTGGGTTCGTGGCTTGCTGAACTTGTAGCTTCTTCCAGTCTGGAACTTTGAACCGAAGTTTGTTTGACACGTTACAGTAAAAAACTTTGAACACTATCAATCCATGATCAATGGCTTTTCTTGTTAATCCTACCCTTAATGTTCTTTTTGTGTCTGGAAATGCCTTGATAGGAGCCGGTAAAAACCGTCTTGTCTATCGTTCTAATTACAACTAGCTCAGAAATTGTGGCTCCCATAAACTTTTCTGGTTGTTGACCAAATGCAAGTAGTTGAATTCTCTACTGTTAGCTCCAAAATCATTTTGTAAAAAGTTTACAAAGTTTCTGGTAATGTTATCTTTTATAATAATGTACTTTTTGCTAAATTTGATGACAAATAAATTTTAGTCTACTTTCAAGAGGATTGGTGTTTTTTTTCACCATGTACTAGGCACCAAAATTACAAACCTATTGCACATTGGTTGTAAACCTATTATAGTACCATTCATTTGATGTTTTTACATTCACAATGGTGGCTGTTACCTCAAACTTGGTGTTCTATCAGGGATAAAAATAAAGTTGTGTCCGTATCATGAGTGGTTTCTTTCTTGGTTAGCTAGAGATATGTAAATGACAATTGTTATTAATATCGTAGAGGTATACAAGGAAAATTTTACCATTATTTCTCTTGGTTCCATTGCTCTACTACTGTAACCTTAGAGATTCTTGTTGGTTGACTGAGCTGTAACTGCATTTCCCCTTCCAATGGTTGCAACTGTGGTTGTATTGGTTGTTCTTGGTACCTAATAGTCAGTTTTGTATTGCAGTTTATGATATTCATTTTGAAGTTATTGTTAATTGTAAAATTAAATAATCTAGTTTGTTTTAACATTACCTTGCCCAGAGTTTATTCATTCATCTTTGAAATGTCAGGATCTATATAAACTCTTGTTGCTGAACAGGATGATGCGTATAATGATCCTACAAGAAATATGCAATTAGATGTTGACGTAACTTGTATGTGCAGTATTCATCACAATTAGTAAAAAAGTTATATGAATTGTACTTACACATGTAAGTCTTAATCATCAATCCAGCAAATGCAAGAACAACATTTGTGGTTTTGTACAAGACTTGTTCTTGTTCTATATTTAACGCCAGGTCTCCATACAACACAGCCTTCAAAGTCTCATAACTGTTCAAACTTATTGTAAAATGAAGTAAGTTATGTCGAGTAATAGACATATTATTGAAGAAATTTAGTGTTTGTTTAATTTGTTCATTTACCTTGAATTTTGAATGTATATGTCTTGTTGCTGAACAGGTACATCCCTGTTATTGAGCTAGACTTTTGTTGCAGCAATCATTGTTGTAAGCACTCCAATAACATCTACAATATTCTCATGCAAAGACAAAAGTATGGAAGTTAGAAAACCAATCATAAAATGCAATATTGTTATCGAGTGTATTATTTATAATACCTATTAAGACTTTTTTTTCATATATGCTGTCATGAAAAGTGCTGTAATTTGCAAAGTTGAAGTGATAGGAAGGGTATGCAGTAATATCTTCATGAATTTCCTTCAATTCTGTTACTCTTGACAGAGCAATCATTAAATCTCTAGGAAGAACATTGAAATTGTTCATAGATTTTATTACTTGAAACTTTTCAATCAAGTAAACAAAACCCTCCTTTAGTACATGTGTAAACTGTGGTCCATCTAAATGTTTAATCATCGTTTGTATTACATTTTTCTTTCATTAGAAAAACCAATTAAGTGCTGTTTTAATATGATTTTAAATTTGCATGAAAATTTACAATATAGTAAAAATAAAGGTATTGCATAACTTACCTTCACATCAACAACTAAAAGATCAAGGCTAAGCAGATTTTCAGAATTATCAGGTGTTGTGGATTGCCAAATTCTTAGCACTTTTACATTTATTGTGTTTGGTGGTTTGAATAGTTATAGCTCACTCAAATATACTTGTCTCATTTGTACCTAATGAAGCACATTGCACAACTAAATCAACATTATGAGCCATAACAAATCTGTTGTCCAACTCAACATCATTATTGACAATAACACATGATTTTTTGATTACTTGTCTTCTCCTATATAACAACCCAAGTCCAAGCATGCTTAGTAACTTTTCAAGCCTAACCTCATGTGGTCCTTAAAAGCTCAAGCTCAAGTTGCTAATAGTAATGAACTTAGATTGTTATATAAGTCTTAACAATCACATTCACATCAAATGTGGGATGTGAGGTATCACAATCTTACCCATTCAAATTCTTGATACCCTCATCAAAGCCACAAATCCCTTCACTAATATAAGTCTGACACTTTGATTTTATAAAAAAATCTAACACTTATACCTTCAATTCAATCAATTGACAAACTTCCAAGTTTTAATCATTGAGCCACCCCAAACATTGATTTATTTCCTTCAACAATATTCTAATTTATTTCCACACCTCGCAACCAAATATTGGTCTAAAATTAAAATCTTTCTTCCTTGATAAAACATCTAAAAAATTAATCCATGTTCTTAATTGAGATTGGCTTAAGGATGGATGAAACAATACAATCTTTAGTCACTCCGGTGGATGTACCGACTCCATCTCCATGCTGGTACATGCATTGAGCAGTTCGAGCCATGTTCTTTGATAAGTTTACTATAACTTTAGGGAAAGTATTGTCAGTAATTTCCTCATTGATCTTCTTCCACGAATCACTTATCAGGTTTTTTACATGATCTCTTGCTTCTTCTTCAGATACACCTTTTTCAATCATGTAACTCTGCACAGCTTTTGGTATATCCCCTCTCTCCATCTCAGCCTTCAAGATAATTAACAACAATGTTATATATATAACATAGAAGCGAAACCAAAGATGAAAGGTGTGTGGTTCTTTCACTTCAATTGAAAATAATTTTTAGGTTTGTCAAACATTGCAGCCTTGCAGGTAAACTTTTGTGAAGAATTTTACCATAGCAAAGTCTTGTGAATTAAGCTACGCACATATGCTTACGTTACCTTGGAGGTACCCAAATCATCGCTGAGTCGGGTGATGAGAGATGACCAGTAAAATAACTGAGAGTAGTCTTTGATACAATGCGGGAATTGTTCAACTATGGAGTCTGCTTCTACAAAACAAAGAAGAACCAGCCCTCCTAGGCTGCCTATTGATATCCATCCATTTTGTATATATTCATCAAAAGTTGGAGTGTGACCACCATAAAACCATCTGGCTTCTGTGATATGTGCTCTGCAAAGTATAGCCCACTACAATTTGCAAATATGGGATCAATTTTATGAACGATTACAAGGAAGCTTTTATTTTAATTTCCATGGCTTTTGATGTTACCTGCTCCTGGATATAGGGCAGAACATCCAGGCCATGATCTCTCAAGGTCCCTTCGGCCAATTCATTAGTAAATTTGGACATGGCTGAGAACATTACTCTCATGTACTCTGGAAGTTCTTCAACGGCCTTGACATCCCACCTGTTGAAAATGGAGATAATGAAGGACTCAATTTTTGCTTGCAATTGGGATATCAATACAATCCGTAGCAACTAAAGAAGTGTAATTGAAACAATATAGTACCCAATCACTGCTTTTGTGAAACTCTCAAGTTCATCAAGTGATCCGTATATGTCATATATGTCATCAACCACTGTTGCCAGGCATGCGTATTTAGTGAAGCATATTCTGCATTTGGAATATTGGGGCTCAAAGCTTAACCCTGTAGCCCAGAAATATATTTCCATCAATCGGTCTCGGCTGAAACTAAGCTTCTCCTTGAAGTTCAATTCCCCCCACCACCTGTTTCCACAATTATATAAATCTTTTATGAAAAGCAAAAAAAAAAAGAAAAAAGAAGTTATTCAAATTAAATAAATCTTACTCTGCTAGTTCTTTTAGTTCTTGCTGGTAAGTTGATTGAATAAGATTGTAGTCTAACTTAGCCAGCTCCAGCAAAA